TACACTGTATCACACATTCAACATCCTTCTCATGGCATGAAACAAACAGCACCCTCAAAATTGACCAATCACAACCCATCAGCATAACCTTAAATTGTGGCCAATTTTGATTGAGTGATATGAAACAAATAAGGTCTGCATCAGTTGTGATTGGCTCATTTCAAGAGCATGCCTAAAGACAATGTTGAAAGATGTGCATAATGCATGTAACTCTGAATTAGACCATGCAAACATCATTATTAGTTAACACCTGTTGACTCGAACCTTGATCTTCACCTTTTCAAAATGAGTGTATTCTTGACTGGTTAAACATTCGGATAATCAATTCATTGATGCACTCTTGGAGTCTGTTATTGAGATTTTAGAAAGTCACATCATGTCATTTTTTTGTTATAGTTAAAAAACCGATTTATGATTTGTTATTCGTCTAACTTACTTTATCATGGCTGCTCTTCCACATGTTCTTGGGGAGAAGAAGTCAGCCAAACACCAGCCAGGTGTTAACTTTTGGAAAATTGTGCCGGTAAGATTATTTTTATCAGCTATGGTCAATGATTCCCAGAATTGAGAATGACATATTTCAAGTTATTGAAAGCTGTAGTGATGCTTAATATTTTAGTATAAATATTTAATACACTTAGCAGAATCAAGGTGGCCGAACACAGTTTCCGCGCACGCTTAGGATTGCAAAAAAACAAACATGCCGTCAATATAGAGTGATCATTTTATTTACTCAACACCCGCACTATCTGTGCTATTTTTCTCTATAATTGAACGCAGTGTATTGATGGCTTTAGTCTTTTAGTACAAGGATAGATAAGGAAAGGTAATGATGCAAAGAACCCAGCAATTCTCAACTTTGTTACCGAAAGAACCCAGTTAAATGCAGCGCATGCCCAGTTGCTCGAAAAATTGAGACTTGTTGCTTTTGCAGGAACTTGCCGATTTCTAGCAATTCAGTCGTTAGAATTTCAAGAAGTTTGGCAAAAAAATAGATCGGAAACCACGTAAATGATCTATCACAAAAAATCTGAATTTTGACATAGGGAATTCTTGATAATACAGAGCATGCAGTGAAAACGATTTACGGTAAATTACGAAAATCGTCTATGTCAAAATTTTATTANACAGCCCTCGCAGTCGTATATGATTAATTCATTTAGTACCAATATTTTATTGCCACAATACTTTAATTAATGATAATATTTTCACACTTTTTTTAAACATGGTAAAAGCAAGTTCAGAATAGCACGATACTTTTGTACACTACAAAATTTTAATTCAAGAAATACCTATTTGGAAATGTTTGGTTTGTTATAGAATGATTCTGAAGTGGATGCCAATGGAGAGGTTGAGGTGACAACAGCACCTCGCCTTATTTCAACTGGGGGATATTTTGATGACATCCAGTCATTGATGCTAGCAGCGGAAGGCATGGTCGTGTGCAAATTCAAGAAATTTGATATTGTAAATGGCATTTTAAGCCTAATAGGCAGCTACTTCTTATTTAATGCTGATTACCCAAAGGGTCCAGGTGGCCAAAGCAAAAACACATATCTATTTTTAGAGAAAATTTTATTGTCAAATTTTACAAAGTAGAATAAACCTGCACAGCTTCCGATTGGTGTGCAAACGGTAGTAATGCAGCTTAAGTAATGCATCATCCTACTGTAACATTAGTATTATCCCACTGTAACAAATTACGGAGATTCATCAGTTTTCCAAGGATAAGCATTTTTGTCAAAGTATATCTCTTNAGTAATGCAGCTTAAGTAATGCATCATCCTACTGTAACATTAGTATTATCCCACTGTAACAAATTACGGAGATTCATCAGTTTTCCAAGGATAAGCATTTTTGTCAAAGTATATCTCTTCTGCTCCCTGCCCCCAGGTGGGGATTGGGCCAGGTTTCAAACTGTATTGTTCTAGTTTAAAACACTGTATTATTTTTGAAGAGTAGTTATTAAAGAAAGTTGTAACAAAAAAATATCTGTGGATATGATCTATTTTATGATGTCATTTCAACTTATTAAAAACAGTTATTACTACTGATACATTTGGGGTTAAAATAGCAAATTTGTTTAACCGATTTCTTTTAGCTAAATTGACAAGAAGTAACTAAAAAAAAAGGGTTCTCTCAGATGCACCCCGGATACCTTTTTAATTAGTCAAATTAACCAATTTGTGTGGTTACGAAACTAAAAAAGAAGAGTCATTTTAACCAAAGGTAATGGTTGTTCCAACTTATAATAAACAGGTTAAAACTACTGATTCTAATTGGTTAAAATGTCATGAAAACTGGCGGCATAGCAACTAAAAAAAATGGTGGAAACAAACCAATCAATTGTTAGGATTATAATAACTAGTTGTTTCAAACTAAGAGAAACCAGTTAATTCAAACCATTTTAGATAGTTATAACAACCCCCGAAAAAAGGGTTCTCTCAGATGGATTTGGCAACATTTTTAAATGGTTATTTTAACTAGTCAGTTTTTACAGTGAGCTTGTCAGTGGGTCCTGGCTTCAAATTTCTTTCGCTTAAAACGCATCATTTTTCTTTGGCCTAAAACGCGTTATAAATCATTGTAGTTGGTCACACTGAAAGCACCAGGTTTTGCCGAATGTTTGGTAGCTATAAACCTTTGTCTAGGCGCACTGGTGGCCGCGACGTTATTTAGCCTCTCACGCTTAAAGAACGAGGTATTCATGTATATTTGCCTTGCTTGTTGTAGCAACCGGTCGATATATAGCCCGTGCGGATCGAAAGACCTCCCTCGCTCAGGT